GTCGCATCCCTAATTTTGTGTTGGTGTACGCTCGAACAATTGCATAGTTACATAAAAATTATTTGCATGGTGCGTTTTTTTTGTTTGTGTGACGTAATTTTAGAAGTGTGCGTTTATAGCAACAACACGCTCGTGTTTGTGGGAGTCCTGCATATTTTCATTAGTGTATGTATACATATATGTATACGTGTGTACCTCGTCCCGCGCCAAAAATAGTGAAAAATTTGGTTCGGCGAGTAAACGGTATGGCGTCTCCAGTGATTAAATGCTCTAAGGTGTAGCCACGCGAAGTGCTAATATCCATGAACGTAAAAAGTATATCCATGGTCGACGTATAATACACTTCACATTGCTATTCGTGTTTGCTCTAATTCTAACAGCAGCTTGTCTTTATCATATTATAGGGAAAATGAAAAAGAAAGACTATTGTCAAGTTAAGCAAATACAAATAGCTGAAATGTCTATTTATGAAGTATTCATCCCTTAAGGTTGGTCCATGATTGCGTTGCTTGGACTATGACTATGACACTATGAGGACTAAACATACGTAGTATCAGGGGCTTTTCATTTCGAACTACAATTATTTGTATGGACATCACAGAACGAATTTTAGATATGTAATATTTCACTAGATGGCGTTATTCAGATCTTTTTTACGTATGGTATTCCTCCAACTTCATATATTTTTAAACAGTAACACAATATTATGCCTTTGGCTGTCAGTGACTGTAACAAAAATCAAGAAAGAAGAAATACAGCTTATCAGCATATATTATTTACAACATATTTTATTTTGAAATAATAAACTAAAGAATTGGCTGTATGGGCAAAGTACCTTCAGGCGCAGATAAAATACCAATGCATTCGTTTCCTAACCCCGACATTCACCCCGATCGATTCCGAACTTGGCTTCCGCTGTCGGAGAAGAGACATTAGCTTTCGACAATAATTATCTTTTCAAGCAAGTAATAGTTTGTCAAAAACATTTTGAGACCAAGTTTCTTACTTGGACTAGAACACTTTCTCCACATGCTGTCCCAACTTTACATTTGCCAGGTAAATTGCAGATTTCAAAGTCTTTTAAAACATCGAGTAAAGAGTGTATGTAATGGTCTCTTAATAAAAATCATTGAGTTGAATGTGATTTTTATATAAATTGCTAAATATTTTTTTTATTATCAGGATTTGGTCCACCAAGGAGTGTTTTAACGGATGTCACCAACAGAATGGATATTGACCAAGGAATTGAACATTCTCAGCTTTCAATGCCTTCTACATCCACTAGTAAATATTTATTTATTTATTTACAAATCATTTTTTATATTACTGACATTCTGATAGAGTGAAATGTGCACTGGTTGTCACTACTGTAAAGTTCTGGGTTCGAATCTTGGTAGGGGCAAAATTATTTTTGAATGTTTGAATTGAAGTATCAAATTTCAGATATACAAATTAGTAAAAACTTCCCCTTATTCTCTTTTGTTTTAATATAAAATATTTTTGCAGGTGGTGTTTTGACTGAAAAGGTAGAATTACAACAAAACGCTGTAAAGAAATCGAAGATACTAAGTAATAATAAGCTTACCGGTAATTTTTATTTTGTTTTAAACTTTCATGGTCACTAACATTAGATATTAACGGGATTGTTACCATGTACCTTGTTTTTTATGAGTCTCCGATATTTCGGCACTGTTGCAAGCGCCATGATCACGGAGTAACTGAAGTAATTGCGGGTAGATGTTATTGGCAGACATATCGGTCTACCCTCTGACGTCGTCTTTTACTGCGTTCGATACTACCACTACCATTGGTCACAATATCACTATTCACTCGCATTTGTTCCCGGCACACAATACTCACAGTATCAGATCGCGGAACGACACATTTTTGATTTTTGCGGTTTTTACACATACGAGCCACTGGATTCCACACACTAGACAATTTAAACCCATCCTCACGATTGAAATTCTTGTGTTTGGTTATTTCAATCGCTTCCCTGACCAATCTTGGTATGTAGTGGCGTTCTGTCGAGATAATTTGTGGATTATGGAGCTCAATCCAGTGATTAGGACCCGAATCAATTAAATGTTCCGCGATGGCTGATTTTTGCGTATCATTATTTCTGACTGCTTTAATGTGTTCTTTCATTCGGCACGCTATTGTCCGCTTCGTTTGGCCAATATAAGAACTACCACAGCTGCAGTCGATCTTGTATACACCAGGTTTCTCCAAGGAGAAGTTATCTTTAGGAGACCGTAGAATCTGTGATACTTTTTGTAAAGGAGTGAAGACAGTATTCAGTGAGTACTTATTAAGTATGTTAGAGATCTTGTCTGTCACTCCTTTGACATATGGCAAAAATAGTGGTTGCCTGTCTACTTTGTGTTTCTGGTGTCTTAATTTGTGTTTGGGTGAATAGCGATAATGTGACCAATGGTAGTGGTAGTATCGAACGCAGTAAAAGACGACGTCAGAGGGTAGACCGATATGTCTGCCAATAACATCTACCCGCAATTACTTCAGTTACTCCGTGATCATGGCGCTTGCAACAGTGCCGAAATATCGGAGACTCATAAAAAACAAGGTACATGGTAACAATCCCGTTAATATCTATAAAATTTTTATTTTTATGTAAGTACTAGCTGTTACCCGCGGCTACGCTTGCGTGGTTTTCCTATTTGAGGCTATCATCCTCTTTTGACATAGTGAGTAAAAAAGTAGCTTATTTCTATTAATATTACGGCGCCTTTCTGCTTGAAGCCGTACATTTAAAACTCTGCGCGCCTGTGCTTGTTCAGGCTTTTTTGAGGTCATTCGAAACATCGAATGACCTCAAAAAAGCTTGTCGTTGAGCTTGCTCATCAAGTCTTTGCTGAGTTTCAGCAGGTGTTTCTGCAGCTCTTAAAGCAGTTTGACTCCCCGCTTGTAGTCTTTGTTGAGACTGAACATCCGATTCAGCGGCTCTCAAATGAGCCTGCCGCTCTGTCTGCTCCTGAAGTCTTCTCTGTGTCTGCGACAGTGATGCTAAGGCCCTCAAATTCGCTTGACGTTCAGACTGTTCAAGACGCCTTTCCTGTGTCTGCGATTGAGATTCTGAGGCCCTCAAAGCAGTTTGGCGATCTGCCTGTTCTTGCCTTCTCAGTTCAATTTCTTCAAGAGATTCTTGCGACCTAGTTAATCTCTTTACTCGTGCTTGAGAGGATACTCTATAAGGGCTAGATTTGCGTTTGCGCGTCATTATTACGGTGAAGGTAAGTATCTGAAATATTTTTTTTTTATTAAAAAAAAATTACCTATTTTAATTACAACAGTATAAAAATGTTTTGTAAGCACCTACTCAACTTGTTTATAGTAGGTAGGTATTTAAAATCCAAAAAAAATGCGAATAATTATCCATTCACCTATTTTCACAAAAACCCAAGATCAATGTGTTAAGTTAATCGTCAAAACGATTGCTTTTTAATATTCCTTTTTGATTTTTTTTACTACCAAAACTACCAAAATACCTACCTAATTCATTTAATGCACAACAAAACCAAATCACAAAGGAAAACAAAAACAGATATGTAGGTAGGCAGGTACCTTGGTAAATCGTATTTCTTTAAAATCAATCAAGGTAGGAGGTAGGTAAGCACTTAACACCACCACGTTGATTCTTCTCTAATAGCACAGATAACAGAATACTATTAAAAACAATAAATATAAAAAAGTAATGTTCATGAATAGCGCCATCCGAAAAACCTCAGATTTTTAGTGCACGTAAACTTGATTTTAATGACGGGTAGCGACATGTCTTCAGTTTCACACGCAACAGCTTGCTTTTCGAATTGTTATTCGAGTTGGTAGCGCCTACTTCTATTAACATCCAGGATCAATCTTCACTTGAAAATTATTGGATAATACTCGATTAAGGGACTAAATTAAATCATAACAGCTGTTTATTTAGTATCTGTCTACTGTAAACAGCTGATTATTTAATATCTATTTGATGTTATATTGGGACACTGAAGGAAGTCGGGTTTTTTTACTAATATTGTTTTAATTAAAATATCTACCTACATCACGTTAAAATTAACAATAAATATTAAAAAGTCATGTTCATAAATAGCGCGATCTGAAAAAACGCAATATCACAACTCAGATTTTTAAACAATTAAAAATACTCATTTATAATAAGGGTGGTGCCATCTTTTAAGTTACTCAAAAAATATTATTTCCAGAGAGACTACTCGGTTGAGTTGGTATTCGAGATGGTTGCGCCATCTCTTATTATTATAAGCAACATCCAGAATCTATAATCACTCGAAAATGATATTTTTATATTATAAATTTAGAGTATTTGCTAGATTTAATTTTAAAAATGAGATTAGAAAGAAATTGCGTAAAATTACCTCGATTTAATAAATGAAACACTAACACAAAATACTCGGTATTGAACACGAGTGGTGCCATCTCGTATTAAGATAGTAGATAAGATAGTAGTAGCGCCATCTCTATCGGGACCAACCATGAAAATGATTAATTTAGTTGAAAATTATGTAAATTCGAATACATAAATTAAAAAAAAGTAGCCTATAGCAGTCTCATAAGTTCAAGCTATACATTTACCAAATTTCAACCAAATCGGTTCAGCGGTTTAGGCGTGAAGAGAAGACAAACAAACAAACACACTTTCCCATTTATAATATTAGTATGGATATAAATAAAAATAATTGATTTATAAAACTTCTTTAGTTATTCTAACCGACTGTGTTAAAGCTACATTTTTAGACAATTATCAAAAAAACAGTGTAAACAAATAGTAGATAAATTATCTTATAATGTAGCTTTAACACAGTATGGTTTTTTCCTTTTTTCATATTAATAATCGCATCTAAAGCTGCCGGTACCGGTTCAGTAGTACATGACTTGTGATTATGTCATGAATCTCTAGATGGCGCTGTATGCTTAGGTTAACTGATATCTCTATTACTAGTATATAATGTACTCTATGCGTAGTATCTCTAACTAGTCTGTGGACTAAACTGTGTTCCTACTAAATATAATGGAATGTTTATATTCATAAATTTTGATTTATTTTATCTTGTAATTGAAAAATGGCTGAAGAACATAAGAAAATCATAATCCAAGATCTTAATCTTAAAATTGGTGGTGATATCAACGATCTTAACAATGCATATGAACTCGAAAATGATTTATTGGTTAGAAGAAATCAGCTGCAAAGCAGTGTACGTACTTTTGTACTAAGTTGTATTAAAACAAATTACTACTGGAATAAATTAATCATTATTGAGTAAAATTCTTAATGTATAATTGCAATTTAATTGAATTTTTACTTTACAGTTAAATGTTGTTAACAATGAGGTCCCAACTAAGTTATCTTCAGCTGTAAAAAAAGCAGAATTGAACTCCAAACAAATAAATACTTTTAAAGAGAAAAGTCTTGTGCTTAAATCTAAGGTGGAAACCTTTCTTCATAAAATAGAACCTCTGAGTGTGGAGTTAGATAAACGGTTTCAAGCTATTCATAAGTTAGAATATGTTCTCACCTATCTCAAATCCTTTGAAAAGATTGAGGATCTTTGGTGAGTGTTTTAAAATTCAAACATTAAAAAAAAAAAACTGTGAGAATATCTTAATATCAGTGTCAATATTAACATCAATTATTTTATTTGTTATCAGTCGTCAAATGAAACAGTGTAGTGACGATGAACAATTAGTGCTTTGGTATGGTGAACTTAAGGATATGAGCAAAGAATACAAAACTCCACATCGTGCTGCATATGTGAATGAGTACACCCACTACTGGCATAATGTGCTTAAAGATAAATTTACCAAGTAAGTAGAATGCAAGTAATGTCAATAACTTTGGTGTTATGTGTTGGTGGTTATTGTTCCACTTATTTCTTTAATCGTATAATTGAGCGTCGTTAAGCAGAAAGTGACGAGCAGGTATTTTTGAAACAAGAGAATATTTGTTTGACAAAGTGATGTTAAAGTTTGATTCTGTTTGATCCCAAAAAAACTTGTTATAAATTTAATATATCCATAACAGGATATCTATATTCTAAACCATATTACAGGAGCTATGAAGATTATTTGAAGCTGTTAAAATGGCCATTTACTGCTAATACAGAGAACTCCCCGCCACCAAAAGAAGTTCTTATAAAGTTTAGTAATTTAACTAGATATCTATTTCTTATTGAGGGACAACCAAATGAGTCAGTGTATGAGGATCTTGAAAAAGGTGAATTAAGTTAAAATTAAGTTCAAAATGTATTTATTGTTAATGATTTATGTTGTATACTTAATTTTGATTTCTTAGTAATTTTTATGTAATTAATTTTAAAGATCCATGTCTCCCTGTACGGATACTACTTAGGCCATTAAAGAAGAGATTTGTATTTCACTTTACTGGATCTCGGCAGACAGCACGCATTGATAGACCTGAGTGGTTTCTTACACAAACTTTGACTTGGATAAAGGATCATCAAACATTCGTAAAAACACATGTACAACCTGTGGCTAATAAATTAGAATTGAAGCAAGTTAAAGCGGTTGTAAGTATATATATCGCTATTAACTAATCATTAGTTACCATTGATTCCATCATAAAATAAATTTGTGATTTTATTTTATGATGGAAACGAGTTATTACATACTAAAGTTTATTAATAATTTTTCAATTTGATGACTCTGTATAAAATACAAGGAGAAATAAACAGCCCTTGCTGAGTTTCTTGCTGGTTCTTCTCAGTACAAAGTTCTCTCACAGTAGATGTATGAACTGATGGCGTAGCTTTTTGTCATTCACAAGTTATTTTAACAACCTAGACTGAATAAATAATATTGAATTTTGAATATGCATTTTATGAATTTTTAATAGGCATTGAATATTGTAGGATGAGTTCAACGCTGGTATAATCGCATTGGCAGCAGAGAGACTTCATACAGTATTAGGATTATACCAAACACAAGGGACCAAGGGTGAGATAGTGGATGTGGATGCAGCTTTTGCACATGCAGTTGATGAAACTCTGGGCTTCCATAGGGAGCTGGTAGCAATTACTGAAAAGGAAACAAATAATGTTCTATCGGTGCTAACTAAAGCCGAAATATTTGTCAGGTGGTTGGCTGTAGAAAAGAAATGTGAGTATACGTTAAAGTTAATCCAGTTAGGACAATTAACAACAATTAAAACTGGTGTAAATTGGTGTTAATTGTCGTAACTGGATTAAATGTTATTAAAATAAAAACAGAAGAAACTCTTTCTAAATATTTTAATCTTTTTATAACCATGTGTTTTTATTGAACACCAATAAATATTTATAGAATTAAAAAAATAATGCCTTATAGACTACTTCTAGGAGCTCGATGGCGCGGGTGGTTAGCGCGTTCTGCTGCGATCGTCGAAGTTAAGCAACTTTCGCAGTGGTCGGTCATTGGATGGGTGACCAAAAATCTTCTATCTCGAGTTCCTCCGTGCTTCGAAACGCACGTTAAGCCGTTGGTCCCGGCTGCATCTGTAGTCGTTAGCACCCGCCAATCCGCACTGGGCCCGCGTGGTGGGGCATGGCCCAATCTCCCTATTCCATCCATATGCTATACTGAATTAAACTAAATAAACATTTGAGTGATATTTTTTAATTATTTAGGCTATTTTTGATACAATGACATCACAATTGCGGATTCACCTGTATTAATTTGAGGAAAAGGGTAATAGTGGGTCACCCTTAAAAGATAAACATGCTGTCACAAACTTTTTTATAGAACTTTAAATGGAGAACAATTCTGCCTTGAGTTGTGTAACTTTTACCATTTACACACAATGGAAGGCCACAAAGGGAATATTTTCTCCTATTATTGCAATATTTTTCATTGGTGCTCCGCTCTTATTTACCGGGCGGGCAAAGAAATCAACGCTCATACAGTCTTATTAAGCCACAAAGAACAAAAAGCACATAGACTAACGAAATTGATCCATGACAAAAGGAAGCGAGAGAGAGACAACCTAAACAAACATCTTCCGTCTCTCTCTTCAAACAAACGAGATTCATGTGACGTTTTTAACACGTTACATTATGTTACATAGCCTTCTTCGATATTTCACTTTGCTCTATCCACTAAAAATATAATTTCATAACCGGACCAGTAGTTCCTGGAATTTCGCGTTGAACCAAACAAAGTCTTCAGCTTTATAATATTATGACATATTTTAGATGCACTTGCAAAAATGGATGAGACACTTGGCAGTGAGCAATGGAGTGAAGCAGTCGCGGCCGGCGTAGGGGCGGCTGTAGGATCCGTGGTGTGGGTACCCAGGGGTGCAGACTGGTTCATAGCTCTGCTGAAGACTATAGAAGACAGATACGCTATGCTACCACAGCCTGGACATCGGTAAGTTTGTCAACCTTTCATTTCATAAAATTTCCTAGAATAACTTTTTCAAAATGATTGCGAGATGTGTGTCCACCGCTCATCTGTAGTAGGTAAAACAATAGCTTAAGCTTTTCATTTTCACATACTTAAACCATTGCTTACACTTCTCTTTAGAATTTCCATCAAATGATCGATAAATACATGAACAATCCCAAAGATATCCTTTATTGTATAACATTAAGTTTCCAAGTGATCCTTTCGAAATTGTAATATCACGGACACACTATGCCATCACAGTCTCCAATTCCTCGAACTCCAACTGGAGCTGATAGAAGAGTGGCGCGTGCGTCTCACACAACTGTTGAACGCGGCGGTGGGTGCGTTAATGGCGGACACGTTCCTAGTGGCTGACTCGAGCCCGCACCCGCTGACCGCCGTCATCAACGCCGCGCACCACGTCAGAAGCGTGCTGCTTCAGTGGGCTCACTCTCTGGTGAGTATTGTCACTGCAAAAGGGACTGATAGGAGAGTGGCGCGTGCGTCTCATACAACTGTTAAACGCGGTGGTGGGCGTACTAATGGCGGACACGTTCCTAGTGGCTGACTCGAGCCCGCACCCGCTGACCGCCGTCATCAACGCCGCGCACCACGTCAGAAGCGTGCTGCTTCAGTGGGCTCACTCTCTGGTGAGTATTGTCACTGCAAAAGGGACTGATAGGAGAGTGGCGCGTGCGTCTCATACAACTGTTAAACGCGGTGGTGGGCGCACTAATGGCGGACACGTTCCTAGTGGCTGACTCGAGCCCGCACCCGCTCACCTCTGTCATCAACGCCGCACACCACGTCAGGAGCGTGCTGTTTCAGTGGGCTCACTCTCTGGTGAGTATTGTCACTGCAAAAGGGGCTGATAGGAGAGTGGCGCGTGCGTCTCATACAACTGTTGAACGCGCCGGTGGGCGCGCTAATGGCGGACACGTTCCTAGTGGCTGACTCGAGCCCGCACCGGCTCACCGCTGTCATCAACGCCGCGCACCACGTTAGAAGCGTACTGCTGCAGTGGGCTCACTTTCTGGTGAGTGTTGTCACTGCAACTGGGGCTGATAGGAGAGTGGCGCGTGCGTCTCATACAGTTGTATGCCTTCAACAGTTGTTGAACGCGGCGGTGGGCGTGCTAATGACGGACACGTTCCCAGTGGCTGACTCCAGCCCGCACCCGGTCACCGCTGTCATCAACGCCGCGCACCACGCCATTAGCGTGCTGCTGCAGTAGGCTAACTCTCTGTTGAGTGTGTAAGTCACAATTTAGGCAATGCAATACTAATAGCATATACTAAGTAGCTCGATGGCGCAGGTGATTAGCGCATTCGGCCTGCAATCGTGAAAGTTAAGCTACTTTCGCAATGATCGGTCATTGGATCGATGGATGACCAAAATCTTATTATCGTGCTTAGGGGGGCACGTTGAGCCATTACACAGGCCCAGTGCGGTTTGGTGTCCCAGTCTCTCTATTCTATCTGTAGGTATAGATTGTGCCCCTTCAGTGGAGATAATGTCTCTGATGATGATGAATACGAGATTACTTTGAACTGAGAACGGATTTCTCGTTACATTGCGTCGTGACTAAGATTGTTATGAAAACACATTATTTAAAAGGGACTTTGCTTCCATGAAGGTTGTTATAATTATAATACATGCTGCAAAGTAAGACTGAATACTTTGAATACGTTTAGTTATCAGTCTGTTTTGAACCTACTACTGTTTCAAAGTGCCTTTCTACGAATCACAGGTACTGGATATTATAAATTTTTGGTTACCTATCCATTGACTGGCAAGTAGCTTAACCGTTTACTTTACACTGCGCCAATTAAAGTTACCCACTCTAGTGCATTATCATTTCAATATTGAAAAAAGATGGAAAAACGGTCTGAAATACTTATCTAATATATACTATAATCTTTGAATATTTATATGCCTAGATACCGTATTAACAGCACGGAAGCGGCACAAAAATTTTCTACTGCATATGGTACATATGTTCTTCACTAACCACGCACACATTGACAGCTTTAGTACAATCTGACACTAATGTAATTTCTCTAAAGAAACATGAGCGGTTTTCTTGGCGTGGTTTATTTGGATTGCTCTATGTAGGCGTAGAAATAATCTAAAGTCTAAAATATTATTTACGAGCTAATTTTACACTTGCAGCATTATCTACAACTCCATTACTACAGGCGACAATTCCAACATTTCACGCAACAGCAACACCGTGACGACGATTCGGAGACAACTACGAGCTCCACGGATGAGGATGACGAAACAGAAGAGGATAATAGTAAAAAAGGTCTGTAACTTAAATTGAACCTTATTACATAATAATTAGGGGTCATATTCTCGAAGTGAACTTTCTTTCGAGGGATACATAGTGCTTTATACTATATATGTCTTTTTTGTCCTCATGAAGGACAAATTAACAGAAATTGATATTGTAGTTCTTACAGTTAATAAACTTTTGCTTGGGAGCAAACGTTTTGTTTGCAAAAGTTTGCAAACTTTGCTTATATTGGTTTCTTGATATCGATGAAGATATATTGACATATTTTTTGCTATATATCTTCATTATATACGCCGCCTCGAGTAGATCGGAAAACAAATTAAAAACTCAGTTAAAATAAAGTAATCAGCGCGCTTTTAGCGCACACTATACTTTCTGTTTCTTTTCCTATTAAAATAATAGATCGGAAAATGCAAACTGCCTAATTGCTTTTTTAAATAAAAAGAAACGGCACGTTAACTACGAATTTCCATAGACTTTTTCTGCCCGCTCAGTGGCATGCGCGGAGTTCTTGTTTTGGGTCTGGCTTTTCCTAATAATGAGCAATTGAGAAAGCTATAAGAATAGGCTAAAGAAATCACAAATTTCGAAAGAAAACCGCGTCAAAGCGATAAACTTAAAGTGACTGATTGTTTATGAAACGCCATCTGTAATGTTTGATAAAACGTTTTGACAAATAAGTTAACTTTACTGACAGAGATAAGGAGTCCATTGTCATTTAAACTCACATTTTCTTTCCAGAAGGAATAACTGATGAAACTATGTCTCTTAAAGAGGTAGAGGTGCGTGCGAAAAAGTTAGCACTAAATGATCTATCCAGGCACGATTCAATGAGTGCAAATGAGATTTCGCAATATGACATAGTAAGTAAACATTAATTTGAATAGTATATTATTTAAACTAACGCGAGAAGCGAGCACTTTCAGTGTGAATTAATTTTAAACTTTATCTACGTTATTTAAAAGATTAGTATCGCTTTGAAAGATTCCGCGGCGGTGCCACATTTTCGAGCTTTTTAAGCGATACTGGTCTTTTAAATATACCTTTAAAAATAAGTAGATTGAAATCATAACATTTCTTAGCATTAAGCATGCAATCGATCATAATATATCAAAATAAATAGCTTCAGTATTCGTTTCAATGTAAGTAACTAATTTCATTATTATTCGTCATGTAAAATTAAAATACTACCAATTTCCTCGCATTTACTTTCAAAATGTACTATTTAACATGAACACTATTTAGATTTTTTTTCAATTGGTACGATTTATAACCAGTAAGTGCTCACGAATGAGTTTGGACTAGTGACGCAGTGCTTTGTTTTCATCATCATCATCATCATCAACCCATGTTCGTCCACTGCTGGACATAGGTCTCCCCTAATGCACGCCACTGCTCCCGATTTTGTGCTACTCTCATCCAGCCCACTCCAGCCAGCCTACGAATATCTTCATCCCATCTTGTCTCAGGGCGCCCTACACTACGTTTACCGAGTCGTGGTCTCCACTCAAGAACTTTCCGGCTCCAACGGCCATCAGTTCTGCGGCTAATGTGACCAGCCCACTGCCACTTCAGTTTGCTAATTCGCTGGGCTATGTCGGTGACTTTGGTTCTCTGCCGGATTACATCATTTCTGATGCGGTCCTTCAGGGATACTCCGTTCATAGCCCTTTCCATAGCTCTCTGAGTGACTTTAAACTGGTGGACTCGTCCAGCCGTGACTGTCCACGTCTCGGCGCCGTATGTCATAACTGGGAGGACGCACTGGTCGAAGACTTTCGACTTGAGACATTGAGGGATGGGTGACGAGAACGAAGCTTAGGAAATGCTGCCCAGCCCAACTGAATTCTTCTATTGGCTTCTCTCTCGAAGTTGTTTCTGCCTAATCGGAGCGTTTGTCCTAGATAGACATATTCCTGAACAACCTCGAGAGGTACTCCATCAACAGCAACCAGTCCCGGATCAACGAGCTCGTTGAACATGACCTTGATTTTATCCAAGTTCATCCGGAGACCGATGCATTTGGAAGATTCAGCCAGGCTGCTCACCATCTCCTGTAGCTCTTGCAGGGTTTCAGCCAGGATGACGATGTCGTCTGCGAATCGAAGGTGTGAGATGTATTCGCCATTAACATTTATTCCACGTCTTCTCCAGTCGAGCGTTCCGAACATGTCCTGCAGCGCAGCGGAGAAGAGTTTCGGGGATATTACATCCCCTTGTCTCACACCACGGCGCAGCAGGACAGGCTCGGTCTGACCATTCTGGAGAACGACGGACATATTAGCGGCGTCATACAGACATCTCAGCACCTCGATATATCGCCAATCAACTTGGCACCTCTGCAAGGCCACGAGAACAGACCAGGTCTCGACGGAGACGCCATGCACAGGGGCTGGTTATACTCTTTGGTCTTCTGTATAACCTGCCTCATTGTGTGAATGTGGTCTATGGTGCCATAACCCCGTCGGAACCCAGCCTGCTCCGCAGGTTGAGCTTCGTCAAGTCTTCGTGCAAGGCGATTCGAGATGACTCTTGAAAACAATTTATAGACATGGCTTAGGAGTGAAATTGGTCGATAGTTCTTCAGTTAGGTCTTGTCGCCTTTCTTAAAGAACAGTACAACCAAGCTCCGGTGCCACGCCCTTGGAGTTCTCCCGGAGAAGAGAACAGAGTTAAATATACGCCGGAGCTCCTTCAGCACCGGCTTGCCGGCAGCTTTCAATAGCTCGGTTGTGACTCCATCCTCCCCCGGGGCTTTTCCATTTTTAAGTTGCCCAAGAGCCGCCTCGATATCCTCTATGTCGATGTCGGGGAGATCCTCCGTCACATGGCGGGTTAATGTGGCTCTCAAATCTCTCTCATCCGACGTAGGGTGGGGCGAGTGCGACGTGTATAGCTGGCTATAGTAGGTATAAACTTCCGAAAGAATCTCTGGTTTCGACGTGACGACTTCTCCACTTGTTTTGGTCAACTTCGTCAGGTGGCTCCTTCCAAGCTGTTGAACAAAGACTTTAGACCCCCGGTTCTGCTCAATTGCTCTCTGTATCAAGAGTGTATTGGAGCGTCGGAGGTCACGCCTGATCAGCTTGGAGATGGACTTATTCAGAGCCCGTTGTTCTGACGAAGTGACTAGTGGATCGTTTCGCCGCTTGTCCATTAGATCCAGAGTCTCTTTCGAAAGCTTAGACCGCTTGCCCGTACGTCGCAGCTCACAGAACTTCGCACCTTCGTCCCGAAGGATTTCTACCACTTGGTTGAGTTCCTTGTCGATGTCAACGTCAATTGTGGTTTCCAAGGCAGCGAATCGATTTTCCAGATTCAGTTGGAATGCGTCAGAACCAACGGCTAATAGGAGCTGATTTGGCCGGAGCGTGGACTTCATCAATCGACAACGTTCGCGCTTAAAATCGATATTCAGAGTGCCTCTTAGAAGTCGGTGATCACTTCCAGTTTTAAACCTATTGATCACTGAGACATCTCTGAATATGCGCTTCTTGTCCGATATGATGAAGTCAATCTCGTTTTTGGTCATAGTATCGGGACTCCGCCACGTCCATTTCTTCTGGGGCTGTTTCTTAAAGAACGAATTCATTAAGAAAAGCCTCTCGCGTTCTAAGAAATTGACGAGCATTTGCCCCCTATGATTTCTATTTCCATAGCCGTATGATCCTAACATCGATTCGCTGCAGGTCTGTACTCCCACTTTAGCGTTGAAATCCCCCATGACAACGTTAAAGTGAGCCCTGGTGGTGGTGTGTAAGGCTCGAGAGATGTCCTCGTACATCTCTTCCACGACATCATCCGAGTATGTCGACGTTGGAGCGTACACTTGTATAACCTTTAGGCTATACCTTTTGGTTAATTTAATAATGAGGTACGCAACCCTCGCCGACACACTGGAGATTTCAATAACGTTGTCAGTGAGGACTTTGTTGACCAGGAACCCGACGCCGCCCTGTGACGGATTTTCTCCCTCTCTAAAGCACATAAGATGGCCAGACTTTAAGGTCAGCGTGTCCTCGCCTTCTCTGCGGACTTTGCTCAGCCCGAGCACGTGCCATCTTATGTGCCTCAGCTCCTCCTCCAGTTGAGCTAGATGAGAGTCGAGCCGTAGCGTGCGACCGTTATATGTCGCTAAGTTCAATGTTTTTTGGCGGCCTACCGTAGCCTGGAGATTCTTAGCACCCCTTGCCCTGCCGTAACCGAGACCGCCGCCTTGGCCTGGAATAGCAGGGCTACCGGGAACTGGGGGCCGGGACAATGTTGTGCTTTTCATGTAGAGGGTTTGGGCCATAACTCACCACGCTGGTCCAGTGCGGGTTGGTGGGTGGTTTCGCCAGGGCATCGTCTGTTATGCAGCAGGACGCACCGCTTGCAGGGGAGGTTGGCTTGGGACCCGAAAGATGTTGTGTGGGTCCCCTTGCGTCCCATTGCGTGCGTGTTTTCATCAGCAAATGTAATTTGTATCTCATTAAACAGGGACAAAATATTACGTAACTAGTTCATAAGTAATTATTCCATGCTTTTCCTTAACACCTGTGTAACATTTCAGACGTCGCCTATAGCAAACTTAGCAGTAACAGAACCATTGTCGGGCGATACGGAGGCCGAAGAAGCGGGAGTATTCGCAGAAGCTCCAGCACTTCTAGCCCATTTGAGAGACGCTGGACTTGCGGCGTTAGCGGAACATATCTTACTAGAGTTCAAGGCTGGCTTGAGAGACTATAAGAAACAGAAGTAAGTGGACAGTCAATACTATTTTTTGAAGAGAATCTTCTTCACGCACCCTTGACTTGGGGGGTAAGCTGGCGAATGCGTTACGCGTTACGAAAAGTGTGTTCGGGCGAGGCAAACGGGAGTTGAGTGGGGGATATAAGCAAGAGAAAGCAGTGCGCGCGTATATTTTCTTTCTCTCCTTCTCTTATAGCTAGTAAATGAAATATGTATATATACATACATGTTTATATTGTACACACATATAAATATATATATATAAAAATAAGTCGGGTTTTCCTTCCTGACGCTATAACTCCAGAACGCACGAACCGATTTCCACGGTTTTGCATTCGTTGGAAAGGTCTCGGGCTCCGTGAGGTTTATAGCAAAGAAAATTCAGGAAAATTTTCAAAAAAAAAATTCTTCTTTTAATCACCAAACGAAATGTTACATAAAACGAAGCCATCTGATGGCGAAACGGAGTTCGCCTGGTTTGCTAGTATATATATATATATATACAGATGGAGCTAAAGAAGTTTCACTTCAGTCGTGTGGTCATAAGATCACTCCTTTTTTATGTCAAAAGGGTGGCAAACAAGCATATAGCCCGCCTGATAGTTAGCGACACCAAAGCCTATAAACGTTTGTGATATCAAAAATATCACTCGCGCCGATGTCTACCCTGACCCAATCCTCTACCCCGTGGATCCCTGGAACCTTACTCCCCGACAGAAGCAACATCACCATAAGTTATTTTACTGTAGTCTTCGGTAAGGTGGAGGTTCCTTCCCCAGACGGGAGCTCCAATACGAGCGGAAAATCCGCTATGTATCCTACCTTCCTTACAAGATGTATTTTAGATATAAGCCCAACTTTGTTTACCATTTTTCTGATCTTTTTATATGTGTGCTTTTTGATGCAATTCAGAGTATAATATCCTTTTAGAAATATTGTGTAAGTTGCCTATAGCTATTTAGCGAAGTGCCTGTTATGAATCGCCTGACAGTACATATAAAGGACTGTTGCCAAATTTAGTTCATATTAAGAGCTCTGCTTGGTGTTGAGAGCTATGCTTGGTGTTTCCCTGCGTGATCGAGTCAGAAATGACGAGATCCGTAGGAGAACTAAAGTCACCGACATAGCTCGAGAATAGCCCAGCTGAAGTGGCAGTGGGCGAGACACATAGCGAGGAGAACCGATGGCCGTTGGGGCGGAAAGGTTCTCGAATGGCGACCGCGTGCCGGACGACGCTCAGTGGGAAGACCCGCTACAAGGTGGACCGACGATCTGGTGAACCCATCGTTGTGGAGATCATTGGGGGAGGCCTATGTCCAGCAGTGGGCGTCGTACGGCTGATATTGTGATGATGATTGTTGAATTTAGTATTTTATATATCTGAATCATATGTGCTGGATGAACAGATACAAAACAAAAACACTTTTTTAACTATAGTTCCAAGTTTAGTCTTCTTCGTTAATGAGAATTCTGATTCGAATAAGCATTTCATAAAATAAAAAAATGACGACAAAAATCTTTCGCGAAGTTTAAACCAGATAAAGATCAAATTCAAACTGTTGTAAATACTGTCGACCGTCGTGGTGGTTCTAATATATATAGTTCTAATATATTTAATTTCATATATTTAATTTCTCACTTACATCTGGTTCCTTTCCTGATCTCTGGTATAAGGCCTTAACTCTCCCACTACCTAAACATAATAGTCCCGTCTCCCTTAGTCAATATAGGCCTATCTCTATCCTTCCTTTTTTATCTAAGATCATTGAAGCTGCAGTCCACAAACAACTCACTTCATATATTAATTCTAATAAACTTCTTTGCCCTTTTCAATCTGGTTTCCGTCCCGGCCATAGTACTACTACTGCTTTCACCAAAATTCTTGAAGATGTCCGGGATGGCCAGGAAAACTCTCGTTTGACACTGTTAGTTTTAATTGATTTTTCAAACGCTTTTAATGCTGTTGATCATGATATTCTCATAGCTGTCCTTTCTCGACTAGGATTCTCATCCTCAGTGCAGAAGTGGTTCACTTCTTATCTTCGTGATCGCTGGCAGGCTGTTCGCTTCGATCAGGAGTTAGCCAGTTGGTGCGAGCTGACTGCCGGTGTTCCACAAGGCGGTATTCTTTCTCCTTCGCTTTTTTCCCTTTTCATTAATACTCTTACAGAACTTCTTACTTCCTCTTACCATCTGTATGCTGATGATTTACAACTGTATGTAAACACTGATAGCCTTCATTTGAATGAGGTTGTCGCAAGTTTAAATCATAATCTCAGGGTGATCAGAAACTGGTCGGCTAATTTTGGTATATCAGTCAATCCAAACAAGTGTCAAGCGATCATTGTTGGCAGTTCACGTCTACTGTCGCAACTTGACCTTGCTCAGATGAATTCGATATTCTATGACGATGTTCCTATTCCTTACTCGGCTCAAGTAAAGGACGTGGGTTTGATTGTAGATGAAAAACTTTCCTGGATAGACCATGTCGATTTCGTCTCGCATAGGGTGACCAATTCTCTATGATCTCTTTACAGGTTTAAGTTCTTTCTGCCCACTCGTACCAAGATTGCCCTTGTTCAATTTCTCATTCTGCCTATCATCGATTACGCCGACGTATGTTATCCCGATATAAATGAAAATCTTCTAAATAAGTTGGATCGCCTTCTTAATAACTGTATCCGCTTCATATATGGCTTACGTAAATACGACCATATTTCACATTTTCGTCTTCAGCTCAAGTGGCTTCCTATTCGCGAGCGTAGGAACCTCAGAGTTGTTTGTGCCCTTTTCAATCTTCTCTTCGATCCACATACACCGGTTTACCTAAAAAGCAGATTTAGGTTTCTGAGTGATTCTCATGACCGTGTCCTCCGTTCAGCGGACAATCTCCTTCTGCATACTCCCGTCCATTCTTCTGGCTTCGTCTCCTACTCTTTCACTGTCACGGCGGTGCGACTCTGGAATGACTTGCCCCCCAATATACGTAAAGCTCCTAACAAATTTGCATTTAGGGGATTGGTTCGTGAGCACTATCTCAAAAGCATTAAACAGCGTTCTCATATATGACTGACATAATCGTATACTTATGTATGTATTATATGTATGTATATGTGTGTATCTATCTATCTATATATATATATATATATGTATATGTATGTATATGTATGTATATGTATGTGTATGTATGTGTATGTATGTGTGTATTCTGTTAAGAGTATTTGTATCCTTGGTTTATCTTACATTTGTCTTTATTGCGCCCCCGTCATATCAGTTTTTTCTCACGCTCTTAATGGTCGACTGGTAGAGAATGCCTTATGGCATTATGTCCGCCATTTGCTGTGTTATGTTGCAATAAAGTTTAGATAAATAAATAAATATTTTTCTTCGTATTTAGATGGCATGCATGGCTAATGGTGGAGGAAATGGCGCTTAGTCTATCCGTACCATTGTGTCGACCTCTATCGGCTATGAGCGCTCGCCTCACTGCTTCCGCGGCGAAACTAGCTCCCGCACTCACTTCCCGACTGCGGGCGCATCTGGCCAACGACGTCGACCAGCATATATTCGAGGCGAGTATTTATCTATTTAAATGACTTAAAAAGGGAGGGGGTTTTTAATTTGAGGAACTAGCGAAATAAAACGGTATAATTACATAAAGTTAAATTTTACAGGAGTTGTATAAAACTGAATGACATACCTACAGTGAGCTTTTGACATGGTTTTTAATTTATAAATTTAGTGATTGTAACACTGTTTTTAAACCTAGACGGTTTTGATTGAAAATTATTTGAGATTCAAATTCAACGGGCCCGAAACCTCCGGACTGTAAAAAAAAGTAGTTTGACCAGATGCGTAACTATACCGTTTCGTTCGCCAGCTCCTCATTTGTCAGGATATTTTTTGTCTTACTGCTTCCGCGGGGAAACTAGTGCCCGCAATCACTTCCCGACTGCGGGCGCATCTGGCCAACGACGTCGACCAGCATATATTCGAGGCGAGTATTTATTTATTTAACCAACTTCAGAAGGAGGAGGTTCTCAATTGGTCTCGATATCTTTTTGTCTTACTGCTTCCGCGGTGAAACTAGCGCCCGCACTCATTTCCCGACTGCAGGCGCATCTGGCCAACGACATCGACCAGCACATATTCGAGGCGATTATTTATTTATTTAACCGATTTCAAATAGGAGGAGGTTCTCAATTATGATATATAATTGTTGTTCGCGCATATCTTCGAGATGCGTGGTTATACCTATTTTGATGATTGTTTTTTGTTTGAATCATTTTATTATGGAAAAAGCAATACAGCTAATTTAAAACAAGAAATATATAACTACAATACTAGTAAAAAATCGACACGGCCATTAAGGTCGCGATAGTATAATTGGTCAAAGAAAAATGTCAACATTAATTCCTTAATCGTATACTCTGTTCACAGGAGGTGGTGTTAGAGAATTGGTTTAACACGGGCGGTACTATGCAGTTCACGCATGACGTCAAAAGGAATCTCATTCCTGCGTTTGCGCCACCTAACAAAGTAGCTTCACAAGTCAACCAACTACCAAAGTAAGAATAACATAGTTTTGTGTATTCGCCTAAAAAGTTGTAGATTTCCTTCCTTGCATCTTATGCAAATAAGTTAGATTAGTTTACTTACTGCATTACTTTTAACTGGACTTTATGCTTGTTAGCCATCTTTTTAACATAAAAAAAATTTAACAGGCAGCCATAGATCAAGTTGTCTTAAATATCTCTAACTGGTTTTGAGATTCATCTTAACTGAAATAAGATTAAAATATAATTCAGAAATTTTTACTTTTCTTAAAGTGACCTCCTTAGCCTTAGCTTGTATGGCAAATCGGAAGCCAGTGATATTTTATAGTGATGCTTTTAGCGTAAATGGTCGAAAATTAATATAAGATTTTTAAGGTTTTCCGATCGATATCAAAATATATTCATATCTAGTTGACCCGGCGAATTCCTTTACGCCATATTTTTTCTGTTGTTCGAATGTAAATAAAATCTTATTTACAAACCTCGTCCTGGTGGTAATGAACACTGTTAAAAACAATTATCTAAATTGATGCAGTCGCTTGACAGTTATGTGCGGACATACAATTCGGCGTTTCATTTTTATTTATAAAGAAGAAGAAGATGGATATGTGCTTATCAATTCGAATATAATTTGCAAACCTCAGAACAAGAACTACAACATATGTAGAAAGAATTAAAGTTCAACTCATATACTCATATAAGTTATCTTCATATAGACTAAAAAGAGACAAATACACAGTTAGGTCATAAGTATTGTCACACAGTAAAAACTTTTCTTTTAAGATGCTGGCCACATAAAAGTTTATTGAATTCGAATTTCGAATTGTTCATGAAAAAAACATGTATACTTTTTTAGAATTTTACTCATTTTTAAATATGGAGTGGACGCTTAAAGAAGACATCGTTGCGGTTACGCGCCAATTAAAATTTTTGACATACTGAAAAATTTTAATATAACCAAAAGATTCGTTTATCGTAACATCAAACAATACAATGAAGACTAGTGTAGTTGACAGGTCAAGAAGTGGTCGCCCTCAGTCTGTTAGGAGTCCAACAGTGATAAAAGCTGTGAAGTCGCGAATTCAAAGAAATCCCAAACGTAAGCAGAAACTGTTGGCCCTTCAGATGAGGTTAAGCAGAACCACGGTGAAAAGGGTGTTACATGAAGATTTAGGGCTTCGGGCATATCGAAGAAAAACAGGACATCGTCTAATGGATCCGAGACTGAAGAGATGTCGCGCTTTGTTGAAGCGGTACGCGGGAAATAATATCGGGAAAATCTGTTTTCGAATGAAAAAAAATGTTACCGTAGAAGAGTGCTACAACAAACAAAATGATAAGGTGTACGCACACAGTAGTGAAGAAGCGAGCAACCGTATTCCACGTGTCCAACGAGGTCATTTTCCATCCTCGCTCATGGTATGGTTGGGAGCACGAAGGAAAAACAAAGAGGAGGTGTGGTGATTAAATTTCCTCAAGAAACGACGCGTGATAATTTGCGGGATGCGGGGTGTTCAGCTCCGCCCACTTCTCAATATTTCATCTATCGGCTAATTTGCTATTACTAACTACTAGCTTAGGTTGATATTTATGTTACTACGTAGTAGTTCAGCTATCTAACACTAGATGTCATAAGTTTTGTATATAATGGGACGTACTCAGAACTTGAAGCTTCAAAAAAAATGAAATATGTAGGTAAATAAATAAAATAAGCGTTAACAAATTTGACCGATTTTAAAATTTTTAAGGTATAATTTTTATTATTTTAAAACGTAACTGCTTGATGAAAAAAATCCAGGCAGACCAGGCAGCAGACGGGACTCGAACCCGCACCCGCTCCCGTCTGCTGCCTGGTCCGCGTGGATATTTTTCTAGTTATATTTTCTTTAGATTTAAATTTTAAGGTAGTTTAAAAATAATAGGCAAAATGTTATTACAAACATAATTTTATTAAAAAACATCAATTACCTGTAAAAATAATAGTTTTGGTTAGTTGTTGTCGGTTGGTTGCCCTATCGTTTTGTATTGTGGCAAAATGCTTAAAACGAATATCAATATATTTTTCTGCAATTGATTTCATCAGAAGTACAACATGATTAACTGTAGGTGATTGGTCAAACATATGGTTGGCCGATTTTTTGAAACAATCTTGTCCAATAAGTGATTTTAATGTATTCGATACAATTTTATGTTTACGAAAGTTAGGAGTACTCAAAGATTGCGATTTAACACAACGAATACTGCATTCGGTCCGTATACATATTTTTATGACATCTCTAGATGGGAAAGTAAGACCACCCTTATTTTTAGTTTTTATCAAATCAAGGTCACTATCGTCGTAGTTATCAGCATATAATTCTTTGAGACAGCTCTCACATTTGATCTTGGAATGTAAATATTTGACCACATACCCAAAAATATATGCTACTATTTGACGGCGCAAATAGTCACCTATAGTTGTATTTAATTGTTCATCAAATTCCAATAACATATCGTCAGGCATAGGCTCGACATCCGTGCTATCCGAAGACTCGAAACTCATTTTATTTAAAATGCGATAACGTTTTGATGTAATATTAATTTTTTGCACAGAAGATTTATTTAAAATGGAAATATCTTCTAAAGGTATGCAATTTCCTCTAAAACCTTCTTTTAGTTCTGTATTTATCAGGGTTTTTTTTTGTAAGCAGCTTTAAATTGACGGGAGGTTAGGTTATTATTAGTTCTTCCATGTGCCCTTATTACTCCAAAAAATAGCTCCAAATGATCTTGTGAAAAATTGTACAGAGTAAGATACTTTAGTGCCTTTTCCTCTTCAATTAGGCGATTGTACAAAAAAAGTGTACTGTTTATGCATGTTAAAAGGCCTATAAAGCCAGTTTTTCGATTTGTAGCGATAACAGGTTTATCTTCATCGGGAGCTACTAAATAGGTCAAGAAATACTTAGCAAATTCTAAATACTCTTTTGTTTTAGAAATATTTTTTTCATATAACGGTTTTTTGTACTCCATCTGACACATGTTTCGCGAATTAAGAATGTCAAAGACATTGTTAATTAAGCGTATAAAATTTATTGTTGCGGCTGCATTTTTGAATGTTTCATCACTTTTCTCACAAAGTTGGAGTGCGTCGGCTACACTATCGCTGAAAAGTTGACTGGCTAATTTGACTTTCATTTTTTGGCGCTAAAAGTCTATATGTTTGTCTTTTAGCTTGTTTCCAAGATGCAGACCTTGCGACTTTTGCAGGTTATTAAGCTTGATGAGATAGGACCATTCAATGTTATTACCCTGGTAATCAAGAAATCTCTTTTTGTTCTCAAAGGCGTTGCGCACAAGTTTCAGCATATGGCACGCGTTGAGGAAGACTGCTATTTCGAATCCTGCACTTGGATGTGGAAAAGTAGTTTTCATTGCTTGAGGTTCTAACGAACATCCTAATTTTTTGAGCATTGCAATAACCGATAAATCCAGTTTTAAACTAGGTAAAGTGCCCTTCTTTAATTTTTTAAGACCTTTTTTTGTCACTATGAAGTCCGCGTCATTGAAATGGCAAGAACAAATCTTTGTGTATTTTGTTGGTGTCCAATCCGGTCTATTAAGTTTTGAAATCCATTGCTGTTTTAAATTATCGTTGGATGGAAATCTAAAACGAACATAAAAATAATTAAAATTAATTTACTTGGTAAAATAATTTAATACTTATTACGGCTCTGGATATTTGTTACGTTTAAAAAGTTATTCTATATGACGACAGATGGCGGACAGTTAGTAATATATTGATAATGTACGCGACGACCGAAGCGAGAGAAAATGAACTTACGACAATATGAGATTAATGTAAAAAATGTATCTATAATTTCACATGAATCGGTTGTATACGCATTAAAAATATCATTCCCTTGTTGTCTTATTAGAATGAGTCGGATATCGCAATAATAGATAGCTCTGCCCATAGTAAACCATTGTAAAATTGATAGTTCAGAGCGATATTCCGCCCCGTTCTCTCCAATAATCTTATAAGACTTTATCTAAACGATCGCCACGACGCCAAGCGGTGGCGCGGGGAAACTAGTCAGAATACTGATAGTTCCGACATATAGGAGGGACGGAGACAATAGGTTGTCCTTGTCTCACATCTTATAGGATTTTGCCTGAGTTGATAGTTTTCGATAATAGTATGTTTTATGTTTTGATTGATTTATTTTATGTTTTATTAGATAGTAGGTAGTTATAGGAATAATATATCAAAGTTTTGTATGAATCGTGTTAGTAGTTTAAGCGTAATTAAGGAAAATATCGGGAATAGTTTTTTACGAATAGTCAATAGGATATAGGTATAATTGTTATAATAATGGTGTTATTTTGTGTGTTTTTACTTCTTCTGTGAAACGGTATATGATAGTTAGGCAATAAGTGAATATAAGTAGGTTTTTTAAGACTTTTTAATTTGTGAACTTTATAGGGCCGTAGAGCTGTCGTTTGTTGATATTCTTGTAAGAAACTTGTTGTATTAGATAGGTAACGCGTAGGGCTACGTAAATAAATAGGTATCACATCAATAAGTGTAAAAATGTACCGTGTAGGAGACAAAACCTGTTTGCATAGAACCATTTTCTGAGACATGTTGCGCTCCCCACCCGGCGCGCCCGGAGCGCGCGGGTGGGGCAGCGAAGCCCCGTGGCAGGGCGTAGCCCTATGGAGGGGGAAAGTATAAATATTGCGGAGACCTATTTTTTGCGCGCCACACCTAAAATATCACGTTTACGGACACATAACTATGTTAAAAATATGCCTAAATGTATGCCCGATGTATGTACAATTAGTTTTAAGCTCGCACTAATGTAATTTTTGAAAAAAATGAAAAATAAAGTATAGCGTGGGTGAGGTAATGGATCGCTGGCCAGCTCAGTCCTAGCATATAAAATTCGAGTCGGAACATGCTCCGACATGCATTCAGCGACAGGCGCTCCTACCATAAGGAACAGGAAGAAACAACCAAGCGGTTCACT